GCGGGAGTTATTCGAAGAGTGACGACGGGGGTGGGAATTGGAAGTGGTATTAAGAAAGCCAAATTTGGTGATGATGGTGAACAACGGGTTTGTAATTCACTACGACTATATTGACCTAAATAGTTTTTTTTTAAATTAAATTTATTTTTATCACAAGCAAATAATTGAAATATATTTATTTAGTTTAATTTTAATAAGGTTAAATGATACTCAATCTATTCTAGAATATATTTTGATTAAAATATTATAAAATGAGAGATGGCAAGACAATGAAAGAGTTTTCTCTTATGTTTCTTGAAAAAAAATTTTTGATAAAGAAATGTTTCATAAAAGTTTTGAAGCAATCATATTAAATAAGACGATATTTTATATGATTGACTATTACGATGAGATATCTTTCTTTCATTTATTCAAACGAAAATTATTACATTTTTTTTTTCTTCGTATGTTCTCATATGGGATTTATTCTACTTTGAATAGAAGAGGCTCAATGATATATATATCATCGTTATAGTCACTCATTTTATCCATCAGAATAGATGATTATCCAGACATCTAGTTATCGTCATGGATATTCGTTATTATTATTATTATTATTTCATTTTTATCATATATAATAGACTGAATTGAATAGATTATAATTTTTTTTGAAAATAGATTAATTAATAAGAATGAATCATTTTTTAAAGTTTATTGTTGTTCTTAAATGAGAATAAAAAATAACAATTTCATACCAAAAATTATTCTTGTTTCATATAAAAGATTATTCTTTGATTTAAAATATTTTTTTCTATATTTAAGGATTACTTTAAAAATTAGTTAACTATCTAAGATGTTTTGTTTAAATATTTATGCTTCATTCTCAAAGGTTCCAGTTAAAGACTATTCTTTAAATCATTTATTTATTCATCTGAATTTGAAATTATTCTCAAATATTAATAATTTCGATTGTTTCCTTCGGAAACTTTCAAGTATAAAACAAATACATAAGGTATGTAAGTACAATCTATAAGGAATTCAAATATTAAAAACAAACAAACTATTTTATTGTCAATTATTGATTTTAATTTATTCGATTTCAATTAATATTTCAACACATTTATTTTAATAATATGTCTCTGAGAAAAAAAGAAATCATGAGCTTTTCTTATTTTAAGATTATTAACAAATATAATAAATCTAATTTATATTTAACAATTATTATTGTTACTTTAAAATGTTGACTATCGATTATAAAAGAAGAAATATTACTCTTTATATCATTTCAAACTGATAATTACCTTTGACAATAATCTTCAAATAGAATTTGATACTATGCCTATATATATATATAACGATCTAGATAATATAAATACAAACTAACCTATCTCTTACGATCTATTTAACAATATTGTAAATCGATTAAAACACTTTAAATTATATATCAAGAGTCATTTAAATAAGTTTTTAAAAAATCAATCATTATAGAAAGTATTCTCAAAACATACAATTAATATCTAATGACGGATTATTAAAAAAAATATATATATATATATAAATAAACTCATACCTTGATAACATTCAGTTCCAAGACAATTACAAACACCTGTAAATCTATTACAAGAAGGACAAGAACATATATAAGAACAGTCAGGTCCATAACGATCAGATGGACAACCTTTTTAGAATTTATTTTAATATTCAATTAAAATAAAATAAATATGCTTACTTATATTACAATTAGTACCATACCAACCTGAGTAACAAGAACATCCATATGGATCAGCTAAACAAATTAATAAACCTTGACAATAATCATCATCACCTGAACAATGATAATCACAATTTTGTCCATAATAACCAGGTGGACAACCTTTTTATTTTAATATAAATTAATTTATTTAAATATAAATTTAAATCTTGTCTGACTTACTATATTGACATTCATCACCATAAAATCCTGGTGCACAAATACATTGATTTATATATGGATGATAAATACCTTGAGAACGACATCGACTTCCATCTATTATTAAAATAAAAAAATAAAAAACTTTAGATTTTAAATCTAGATATATTTACAATCTTGATAATTAATAAATCTTGTATGATGAGCCGAAAGTCTTCGTTCTTTTAGACCAATTGAAAGTAAACCATTAAAGTCTTTTTTTGCTTTAATACCAGTTATTGTTTTGTTATTTGTATTTGATGAATCACAATTTAATCGAATTGTATCATCTAATGTTGAACTTTTATCAACATTTAAATATTCATAACAATCATAATGAAGATCTTTATCAACTTGATTGAAATTTAATGTTAAAGAATCATTTAAACTTCGACGAATTGCAACACTATAGTCCATTGGTAATATTGGTCGAATAAAATCACCTTAAATATATTATTTCGACTAAATAGTTTCTATTTAAAAAAAAAAAATTTTTTTTTCTTAAAATACCATCAAGTGGAAATGATTGTGTATAAACAATAGAAGCTAAACTATTTTTTGGAAAACAAGCATAAAATCCAAATCTTGAATCATCACTTTGACTTGGAAGTGTTATATTAATACATTTCGATGTACACTGTTTATATTCACAAGATGAGGATGGTTTTATTAATTGTTTAATATCATTTTTTCGACAAAATCTAAGATTATTTAAATTCGAATATGGATCAATATCATATAAACCATAATAAGATTCATCACGAGCTTTTGATAAATGATAAGCTATTCTATTTGAACCTCGTGAAGATGCTAACCATATATAATTTAATGAACTATTATACTAATTAAATAATTTTAAAAAATGAATTTATTTTAATTTAATTAAATAAAACATACTGATATGTTTTTTGGCATCCAATATGCATTATCAACTTGTTTACTTTGAGATATTAAACCCGTATAAACATAATTTGATTTAAAATTTGGATCTTTTAACATTATTTCTTAAATTATATATTCGAAACTTTTATTTTTGTTATTTCAATCGATCGATTTTTATTTATTTAACAAATATTTATTGTAAAACAAGAATATTTTCAAATTCTTTTTTCTTGGGGATGGAGGGGAAATTATCGGTTTTTTAGTCATATTCTTTAATTCATTTTTTTTCTAACCTCTCATTTATGCTCAAAAAATCTACAAACATATTTGAAGTAAATCGGCTGATTAATATTTATTTCACTGTTAATTATTTCTATTTGCAAACAAAACTCTACAGATTAATAATTAGTTTAAAAAAAATAAAACTATAAATGAATATAATTATACGATTTATCATATATCGTCTAACTAACAATTAAAAATTATATAATAAGAATTCTTGAATAGAGTCGAATTGAATAATAATCAGAATAATTTTAATAACGTTACTTTATTATTGACAATAAGAATTAAAACTATAATCAGACAAGATTTATATTCTTTACGAGATTTTATTCGAAATATAATTCAATAATAATACCAATTTAAAAGGTAAAACATCATTTATTATATTCATAGAATATTCGATATTAACTCGTTTAGCTTATTTGAAAAATAATCTCTCAAATAGATTTGAGAAAAATCGAATAATTTAATACTATTTATTAATATATATTTTCCATGAAAAATATATTTTTATATAATATAAATCTGGAATTAATATTTGAAGTCTTATTGTCAGATTTCAAGAAAAATTTTTTTCAAAATCAAAATTCTTATTTCTGTTTGATGTCATCTCTTGAAAGGTAACTTGACTATCGTCTATAAGAATGATAATCATCTCAAATAGCAATTTTAGACGGCATATGTCATCTCATTGATATATCGAACTTTAATAATACTTTTACTTTTCCAAACAATTTATATATAGATAAACTCATACGAATGAAATATGGTTTGATCATAATTGATCAATTTATTCTATCTGACAACATATCATACAAGTCGAAACGTTATTTTAGTATTCTAAGATAAATTATTTTTAATTTAAATTCGTCTATAGATAATAATCAAACACATTGATAGAATAATAAATAATAATAAAAAAAAAACATTTAACATATTTTATCGTCATGAAAAAAGTATTCATCGATATATTCACCATTATCATCGTTTGACATCAACACTCACATTCACTCGAGTATTATTATCAACAATCAAACATATACTTACCCATATTTATTAGATTTTACAAGCTCAAACATACCAAGTCAATCCTCAATCACCTAAATGTTTTTTTTAACTTTCAGATAATCTCTTATTTTTATTACTAGTTATCAAACAAACGAAATCGTTTAATTTTTCATATAAACTAAATATTTTCGAATCAAACTATGACTATCAAAGTATATGACGGATGTCGATTAGCTACAGTTCTGGTTCGTTCGAGTAGAGAATATTTTCAAAAAAAGTCCTGATCCGTGTCGGAATGTGAAAAAAGTAGCCATACAGGACATTAGTTTGATCCTTCCGAAAAAACGATCTTACACTTTTTTCTCGTTTTCTTTATCTCGTCGATATATTTCTCGAATCTTTTATAGATTATTCTATCTTAAACGACTTTCTTTTTCTTTTTAAGATTTGAAGAATTTTTAAAAAAAGAGTAAAAATCTCAAATTAATCGTGATGATCTGTTATATAAGATTGAATCTTAAAAAAGGGCTTATTAGTCAAAATTCTATTATAAATTATGCTTATAAAATGTTAATTAATAAATAAAATTTAACCTTGAATTAATTGCCATTCATAAGCATTATTAGCATAAATTGGATAACCACCTAATTCGGAACAAAAATCAATAACACCTGTTAAATTTCCTGATTGACTATCTGTTTCAAGACGATAAATAAAATCACTTTGTTGATCAATTAATGATGCTAGTTATATAAATGAATAAATTAAATTAAATTAATTAAAAAATAAATAAACATACGAATAATTCTACAAAGAGGATATCCTCTTATATAGTCATCATGACAACGATGAGAAAATATTTCATATGATAGAGGATTTCCACCAGATGCTTGAATTACTGTACAATAATCATCATTATTATTAATTGAATTTACATTTATTTCAATTCGTTCGTCATTTGAATTAATAATCTGTTTTTTTTTAATATTATTTAAAAACAAAATATTTTTTAATGAAAAAAACAAAAAAAAAACAAACTTACATTTGATTCCCATTGTTGGATTAGATTAATTCTTTTTAAACCAATAAAAAAAGTAAGTGTATCATTTCCAGCTGCATTTCTTTGATAACGAAATAATTGATGAATCGTCGTTAAAATAGCATCTTTAATTAGTTTAATTATTAAACAAAATAAATAAAGTTAAAAAAATAAAAAACAAAAAACCTTGAAGAATAGCTTGTTCAGTTGTATTAAACCAATATATTAATGTAGCATTATTATTTGAACAAAATGTTAATGCTTGATCTCGTGTCATATTCCATGGAAATGTAAAATATTTTAAACGATTTTCAATCCAATGTTTCCCTATATTAAATAATTATTTAAATAAAGTTTTTTTTTTTTATTCTTACATCCATTATCAATATTAATTGGTTGAATTGATAATAAATCAGTTTTACTTCGACATGTTATACTTGATTCTTTATTTTGTGTATATAGAAATCCTCGATGTTCAATAGCAATATCACTTATTGACGTTTCTATACGAATACAAAAATAATCTTTCAACGTTTTTTTTTCATATTTATTTTCAAACCATTTATTCGATTATTAGCAAATCTATAACTATTATACCATGATGATGTTGATCTTAAATAAATAAACAAATAAATAAATAAATAAACGAAAATGTCGCACTAACTTAGCTGAGAGAATTCCATTTCTGAGAGCACTTAAAAATATAGACGATTGTGTTGAAGTATTTTGAATTAATACTGGAGAATTTTCTCCATTCCATGGAGCAATTCGACCATCATGCATTGCTGATTTACATACTAATGAATTCTTTTCAAAAATTTATTTGCATTTTTTAAATATAAAAAGATAAAATTCAAAAAAAAAAATGACATACTCCAGAATATGTTTCATTACCAAATATTGGATATTCATCTTGATTAGTTATATATCTCATTGTATAACATGATGATGGGCATAATAATATACTATTATATATATATATATATAAATTCAATGATATTTAAGATAAAAGAAAAAGAAACCTCGCGTTTGGATACGAAGGATCGTATGTTACAGTTGCATTGTCAAATGTCATAAAACATATTTTTGATAAATAGAATTGACCTTAATTAAGAAAAGAAAACCAAAGAAATGATTAATTAATTATTAATAAAAATAAAAAATAAAAATTCAACCATTAATTATTGAAAATGGATTAACCAATATAAAAATAAGATAGAAGATAAATGATGAATAATAATCAATGTCCATTATAGGATTTCTAATGAATAAACGTATACGTTTAGAAAAAAAATGTATAGATCTTATTAAAGTGAATAATAATGTCTTCTTTTCTTTTTCAAATATTGATCGTCTTTAATCGAAGATCAATATTCTTTGCATGTCCAAAGACAAATAGAACGATCGACTAAAATTTGAAAAAAAAAAAAAAAAAAAGAAGCGAACATTGATTTGTTAATGACACCCACTCAACTATCATCAATTTATTTTCTCTTATGATTTCATCTGTATTGACATTTTTTAACAATTATACTTCATTTTACTTTTTATAATTATTATTTATTTCGGAAAATACAAATCAATTATTATCATTTATCATTAAATATTATTTCATACTATTATTTCTTATCAATAATTATTCATTTCAATACGAATTTGTCAAAATATCAATCATATTAATATTGTTTTAAACGCTTTATTAAATATCCATTGAACATATAGATTTGAATGAGAAGACGAATAGTTCTTTTTATTCTAGAGATTTTTATATAAAAATATCATTTTCAAACAAAAATCAATCTTTCATTTTCATTTATTTTCTTAATTATTATTATTGTTACAAAAAACTTTCCATCAATTCATATTGAATTATCTTTTAAATTTCATCAAAATTTGTCATTTACATGAAATGATATAATTTCAAATCAATAGGATTAATTATCAATAATTATATTTAAGATTTGTTTTCTACCATTCAATTGCTTATTGATACAAACATAACAACTATTTTATATCAAACTATGTAACATATTGAATAAGTTGAAAAAAAATATTTATTCGGTGATAAGAATGAAAAATAAAGAGAACAAAAATATTAATTGATTTTAGTCATTTTTGAACTCAGTTACATCTTTTCGTTCAACAATCCAGGTGTTGCGCAACTTCTCATTCAGATATGTGACAAGCAAAACGACCAACCCTGAATGTCAATAACAAATACAAATATCGATTAAACACGAAGAACTATCTACTAACTTGCATATCAAGAAAAAATCCGATTTCGTTAATGTTTCATTTTTTGTCTATTGATTAAAGTTCAATATGTCTCGACGATTTTTTTTATCCTATTATCTTATTTATTCGATTCAATATTGAACAAGATGACTATTCGAAAAATATGCTTATATTTGCGTAAATATTCAACTTGTTCATTACTTTTTTTCTCTTTCACTTTTTTTGTATTCGAAATAAATGAAAAGTCTACTTATATTTGTTTGTACAAAAAATATCCGTTGACAAATGTAAACGAACTAGATATTAGTCAACTATCGATCAAAATCAGATTTATTGCTAATCATTGTCATGCATTTGCTTTCATATATAATAAAAAGTCAATGATTTCATTTAAATCCATTTTTAATTCAATGATTCTTTAAATTAAAAAAATATTTTGTTCATTTCCATTTTACTTCTTTGCCTGAAAAAAGCATTGTCTTCTGCTCCAGTTCTACATTATCTATTACAAATCAAATATTTAATTTTTGATATGTTATTCATAGAATTAATCATGATAAACTTTCATCAACTTTTAGACTATAAACATGTTTATTATTATTTTTAGAGGACATATACAATTTAATGTTGAACAGCGCCTCTGTCTGTACAATTTTTGTTGATTTTCGATCAACCTTTGACCAGTTATGATTTCTAGACTGTTTAGGTAAACTACGACGATTGGGTATTCCTCTTTCGTACCTGACTTGGATAAAAGCGTGGCTTCGTAGCCGACGTGGTTTTATAGAAATTAACAGCAAAAAATCCTGTTGGTTTCCAATAGAATAAGGTGGACCACAAGGCGGTATATGAACCCAGACGTTATTCGTAGCCAAGCATTGTGATATGGGCAAAATCCTTTCTGGACGTACGAACCATTTTTTTTGCAGATAATCTTGCCGCGATAGTAGCAGCGCACATGGGGGTACGTTATACCGATCAATGTTTCGATTTAGAAAAAAAGGATTAAATTGTTTCTCGAGCAGTTAGAATATTATTCGTGCTTATCAGTTCAACCAATAAACTTCTCCAAAGCGAAAGCACTGGATTACGTCTAAGATGAGTTGTGAAAATATGATTAAAAAAACGATGACAAAGGTTAGGGAATGCATCTCATCAATTAGGCCTTTTAAATTCGCTGGTGGTACTATTTCGAAGCTAAGGCGTGCTTTATTCTCGTCTTATGTGTTGCCATTGTTTACATGGATTTATCCATTGCTCCCTCTGCTCACTGATAAACAAAGAAACGATCTGTCCCCCTTTTACTACACGTGTCTTCGCAGAGTTATGTTCGTCTCTCATTGGAAGGAAAATTTCTTTGCGTATGCATTAAACGAGGTGTCATTGGACGACGATTGTGCGATGTATTCGGATAAATTTTTGGTAGCGTAAATTGACTCTATTGGCGAAGAGCTCCTCATGAGAAAAGCCAACTGAATGAATTCAGGAGGGCTTGGGTTCAGGACGAGTTTCCACTTAAAGGTCTTAGACGTTCAAAGAGATTCACTAAGTGTACCTCTACTCTCGAAAAATTCGGTTCTTGCCTAGTGTCACTCCCTGGGTCATCCTCATCTATCCCCCTTTTTCGAAACGAAAGAAGTTCAGCTCCTTCAAGAACATCCAGAAACGTTCTTGTCATGAGATTTGTTTGATGAACAATCCTAGCACGTTGATGAACCTTGATTCTCTTCAGTTGAGTATCCTTTTACTGTCTATTGATCAATGAATGTCCGTTCTGCTTCTTAATATTTTCTCTTTCTCTATTGGTGTCTTCATGTACGTGTCCGTATAGATTCTTTCTTCACCTTGTCATGCATGTATTTTTCCCTTTTTGGTTGTTATTTTTACTCATATTCATATCTTTTTTATTGTCTCATTCATACATTTCTCCCCGTCTATTTTCTGTACTGAAAGAATCCTGTTGGATCACAGTGACGCTGTAAAAACAAAAACTTTCATCCACTGCAATGGCAAAAGAAAAATATCATGCTCTTTCAATCATTTTTTACAGAACAACATCTCGACTATATAGATTAAATAACTTCAAAATATGATTGTGTTCTCTAGAGTACAATTATACTTTTCACAAGTGACATGTCTTGCTATAATTAGGATTTTTTTTCATTATTATTCATATTAGCAAACTGTTTTGCAAGTTGAACACAAAATAACATGGTCATTTCTATGTCAATGTCATCGATTGAGAAATAGTCTCACTCAGAAAAATATACTACATCATTCAACATTGAAAATTACAGTTATCAATTATTTCTTATCATTAGTTAAGAAACAATTACCATCGAGATTTTGTCAAATATCAACGAACTCAAGTTTAACTATTGTGCTGCCAACTGTCAAAGGGACTCAAGTCGAATGAAACACAATATATCTGTATTTTTCTACACAGAGTTATATGAATTGAATGTAATTAGGTAAGTATATTTCATTTCATAACTTATTACGAACAAAATACTTATAAAATGAAAACTAAAGTATACCTTCATATTCACAATAAGCTAACTAAAAACCAAATAAGGTTTTTACTTTTTAGACAAACTTACTTGAAGTATATTCAGTAAGAAATATCAACTCCAATAATAATTAACTATTTGAAGAAGCACTAAATGTAACTATAGTGAAGAAATGCAATCCATGAATGATTTATCTAGAGGATGTCCCAAAAGTCATGTCTACTTAATAAATGTATAGAATTCTAATACTAATCAAACTTAATGCGTAACTTTTTTTTTTATTAGAAAGTTAAGACTAGGAAGTTTCTATTCGTCGTAAAGATCAAGTTCATGAACAGACTAGAAAAGGAATCATTTGTGGCCACAATACAATAATTAGATTTTTTTCGATATTTACTAAAGTTTCAATCGTTATTACAGACTTCAGATCATTGGAATCTAAATTCATGATTTGATTAATACTCATTCTGATATATTCTTGAGAAAAGAGAGCAAGAGAAACAGTCTTAATAACACAGTAACTTATGAAATATTCTGACGTACTTATGTTTGGTGTCAGAATAGTTTTCGAAGAAATGCCCTAGTTATTCGATTGTTTTAAAGTATGTCAAAAAATGATTGCAAAGTAATAATTTTTTATTTGAAGTTCGTAATAACAATCGAAACTTGAGTAAATATCGAAAAAAGCTCTACATATTGTTTCCGGCATCGAAAAAAAGTCTAATTTTTGTATTGTGGTCACAAATGATTCCTTTTCTAGTCTATTCATGAACTTGGTCTTTAAGAATAAAAACTTCCTGATCTTATCTTTCTAATAAAAAAAAAAGTTTTGAATTAAGCTTGATTAGTATTCGAGTTCTATGCATTTATTAAATGAACATGACTTTTGGAACACCCTGTATATTCGACTGAGTAAAGACATATTTCAAGATAAACAATATTGATCTCCGAACAAATCTCATCTTTTTCATTCTGAAAGAAAATAAAATATCGATATAGATGAAAACTTTTGTTCGTTTCTCTGAAATAGATCTTACTCTGAATGTTATCTTCAATAAAATGATAAATCTTCAAGTTAAAGTTACCACAATTGACGGCTTCATAAAATTCATTCAAAAAAAAAACGTGATTAAGACTATAAAAAAAGTTTTTAGGTTTTGGAACGAATCACAGTCAGGATTATTTAGTT